CTCGGCCCCTCGGTGAAGAAGATATGGATTTTGAGGAAGCGCACACAAAGAGCCAGAAGCTGTGTGTGTGTGTGTGTGTGTGTGTGTGTGTGTGTGTGTGTGTGTGTGTGTGTGTGTGTGGACACGGGCAGAGCAAGAGATGGATGCAGAACCACGTTCTGTGTGAGTTATAGTAAACACAATGAATAATATCTATTCAGAGAGGCTTGTCTGTATTGATCACCCTCGGACTTGTGCGCGCCTCATCTGTTTCTGCTGAGGATTAAATTCCCTTCTCATGAAAGAAAGAAGAGCTGGAGAGAGAACAAGTTCAAACTTTTTTCTTTTTCTTTTTGCACCAAACTTTGCTCTTTTGAATCTCTTACCCTATTTCTCCTTTCTTCCTCTATGTCACACACACACACACACACACACACACACACACACACACACTGTTTCTTATTTGTTGTTGTTGTTTGCGTCCTGGTGTGTGGTGTCAGATCATTAGAGGACAGGATCAGAGTGAATCAGCAGTGTGATGCAGGGAGGCAGGGGAGGACATAAGGCTTGCATATTGTTTTCCCTTCATTAAGCAAGAAGAAAGGGACTTTAAATTTGTGTGTGCATGTTCGCGTGTGAGAGACGGAAGACTGAAAAGATCCCATGAGAGCGGAACGCACAATACTTTTTAAGGTGTTGATGAGTTTGATAATGCTGCCTATCTGATGAAAGCATTGTTGTGTGTGTGTGTGTGTGTGTGTGTGTGTGTGTGTGTGTGTCTGTGGTGTGTGGCAGGCTTCTTGCTTTCAGAGTTTTGACAGAGCATATCCTTGTGTATCTTTCCTCTAATTGAATCCATCCCTCAGGGCGTCACCACTTGTTTATATGCTGACACCATGAAGGTGAGTGTGTGTGTGTGTGTGTGTGTGTGTGTGTGTGTGTAAGTTCATACTCTCTCCTTATTGTTTAATTATAGCCCAACAGCTGGAGCGATGGAGGAAGAGAGGGGAAGACAGGAAAGGGAGAGTTATCGATTAAATTAGTCAGATTATTCATATTTGATGTTTTGCTTTGTCTGTGCGCTTCTGCCTGAGCGTCTCTCCTCTGCCATCACTTTGATTTCTTTCTGTTAATAAATTGTCTGTATTGTGTTGAAGGACCGCCAATAAACAATACATTTACACTTCGTCAGTTGACAGGGTCTGAAGTGCGCCGGTAAAACTTGTCGGCCTTTTACACATGTACCAAGGGCGAGTGGCGTGTTGTCAGGACTTTATTCAACCGCCTTTAAAAAATAAAAAAGATAATAAAAAATGTCTCCTTGCCTTGTCAGTTGGAGCAAGAGATGAAGAAATACTTTCTCTGCACGTCTTTTATGTTGTTCTGTTTCGTAATTACAGTATGTGAATTGTGCAGCATTAACATTAGCATGAGCCAGTGTTAACCAATTAGCTCGTGCTAGCCACCAAAGCTACCGGTCATACCTGACCAAGTAAGGTTGTAGCAGCAAAGCCGCTGAGTGTATTTAGTCGAACTTGAAGCGACGGGTCACTGGCGGCAGAAACGAGTCCGTGTGTTAGCAAACAGTTGCTTATTTACTTGCCTAATTAACAGATCATGTAATTCTCTCCGTGAACCACTCTGTCCGTAGCATCACACACACCAGTTGATGCTCATCATCAGTATTCATGTAGACAGTTTCACTGCGATGACTAGACTCTGTGCAGAATGCCAAACGCAGAAACACTAATCCAGTGTTTGTAGAGGTTTTGCTTTTTCTGGTTCTTTTTCTTCTTCCAGATGAATGAGTTCTGCCCACTGATGATAAAACACACGTCGGGAGCATAAAATATCTTGTCCAAGGTCTTACACAACTCTCTGACTTCAAATCAACACACCATAGACTTACAGAATCTGCTTAGAACACAGTGTTCCTAATCCTTAGTGCAAACACTTCATGTATAAATCATTCCACCTTCTACTCCTTTACTACCATGCTGTGGAATAGAAATCACATTGTTTTACCTCTTTCTACTCTCTGCCTCAAAAATACAGAGCCTGAGGGATCTGAAAATATTCACTCCCCCTGACGTTTTTTCAAATTTTGTTCTTGTAGCCTTATACTAAATAAAAAAAGCACCTCCCCTTATTAATCTACACTGAAATCAAGGTGTAGAAACATCTCAAAGATGGTGAAGAGAAACAGGAAGCTCCTCAGCTAAATGTCATAGCAAAGGGTCTCAATACGTGACCCACTGTCAATGTGATATTTAAATTTTTCCTTTTGAATAAATTTGCAAAAAATTCTAAACTTTTTACTTTGTCTTTAAATTCAAAATGGCAAAACAACCTCCTGTGAAATTTTCACCAGGCCCGACACGTGTACGAAAGTTTCATGAGTTTTAAAGCGTGTTCAGGCCCCGTAGAAAAAGCATTTTATTTTGATGGAGAAAGAGAAGAATAAGAAACACTAGAATTTCAATCGGGTCCTCGCACCCCTTGGTGCTCGGTACTTGTACGTTGTTGTGTTATTCATGCAGGCTGTTGCAGCTGCGGCTGGTGTTGGTCAATAATACATTTTTCATGCAGAGCTGTTGTCCAGTAGAAAATATATTCTGCTCTTTGTAGCACAGAAGTGCGATAATCAATCAGAAATATCATTCATTCATTATTAATGATGGAGGGAAAAATAAAGCTGGTTAGATCTTTTTTTTTTAGAAGCAACTCATTAACTCAGTGAATGAACAGGTTTTGCCGGTTGACCTGGTGTTTCCTGTCTCAGAGCTGTGTGGTCAGGTGATCAGGTGTCATGGTCTGGAGCCTGATGGAATCTCATTGATGAACTCAAGCTTTCCCGAACTGAAATGACGCTGCGCTCCAGCTCCGACGAAGGTTGATGTCAGTAACTTACAAAGACGGCCCATGCAGCTCGTTATTTTTAATTAGCCCAGCCTCCTTCAGCCCTTTACTGTGAGCTTTTGTAGATGTTATCAGTGTGTGTCAACAACAGTTTTTACCCCCTGCAACTTTCAGTGCCACCGCTCTCACACTATAGACCTGAGTGTCTGGCTTTTTTTTGTTTCCTGTTTAATGATCCCGCTCTCCATACTGACGGATCTTTTTAATTGCATCCCTTTGGACTCACACAACTTTGTGTGCATCCTCCAGTGTGTGACGCAACCCAGCGCTGCCTTCCAGACGCCACCGTCTTTACCCAAATGATGCTACCGAGGTTCCTTCTGGTCACGGACTCAAATATCAGCCTGCATCTATTATTCAATACTCCTGTTCAATACTGTATAGGAAGTACCACTATCACAGTATCACATTCTGTCCTTTCAGTCCCTCCTTACGTTCAAAAATGGAAGATCCTGCAGCACATGATTTATGTCCAGTGCCAATGTTTAGGGCGAACGCAGGAAGTAGTGTGGCCTTTTTATTTAGCGAGGCGTAAAATAAAAGGTTTGGAGGTTGAGGGTTGGTGGACGAGGACCCGCTGTCACAGCAGAGACAGTAACTAAGTGAATAATAAATGATTCAAGGTATTTTTAGGCATTTTACATCTTTATTACAGAGACAACAGAGACGACAGGCCTGAAACACTAATATAGAGCCTGATGTTTTAAACAGTAGTCCAGTGATTTGATGCCTAAATAAATAACTTGACTTTCTGACCAGAAAAAAACAAGAAAATAAACACAAATGAGATGAAAATCATAAATTATTCACTTTTTAATATAAATAAAAACATATTAAGATTCAGTCCGCTGTCACATATCGATTAAGATGCATCTCTAACTATCCTACGTGATTATATTTCATTTCAGAGACACGTATCAGCAGATGAACGTAAGAACGTCTTCAAGTGTCAAACTCACAGGAATCATTAATCACAGTGAAGTTGTGAAAAGTTAAATATCGTGTCTATAGTTCATGTGATGTTCGTGGGCGAGACCGTGTCCCGTCGGCGAGGACTGGAGCTTGACGAGCTGTCCTTGACTCGGCTTCAACTGTTCTGAGATCAGTTAGGATATTGCAGCATTAAACTAACACTAAGCTTGTGTCCGCTTGCCTTCTGCTGCTGCTGCTGCTGCTTTTGACCAGCATGAAGTTTTGTGCTGTGGGACCACGCTGACCCAGCTGCATTCTGGGTCAGAGGGATAAATGAGCAAGTGGCAGCTAATGTGATAAAGGATGGACAGGTCGTTTGTCTTCACAGCCTCTGTGCACGCTTTTACATACATACACTGATGAAGTGCAAAGATTTCCTTTTAGCTCACATATCATACACACACACACACACACACACACACACACACACACTTGGACTTGACGGCCTGTTCTGTCTAACATTGTTCACCAGCCTGGATGCAGGGTGCTGACTGTGGATGCAGTAGCAATCTATAAAATATGTGGGTGTGTGATTGTGTGTGTGTGTGTGTGTGTGTGTGTGTGTGTGTGTGTGCGCATGGAGCCCACATATCTGTGTCATGGTGCTTGTGTGTGTGTGTGTGATCTCTGTTCAGTCTCATCACTGAGGTCGATCATGCCCTGTGCGTTAAGATGTCTGTCACATTCACTGACTGTGAAGCCGGATGCTTCGTCCTCCTCTCTGTCTCTCAGCGTCGGCCTCTGTCGTCGTCGTCTTCTCTTCAACCTCTTTAAAGTGTCTTGTCTCGCGCCCTTCGCTAACGACCTGAACTGTTTTCCGACAGATCATTGGTTAACAGGGTGAAATCGGAGCAATGACTGCCACTCAAATCAGGGCCTGCTGGGGGTTCCTACTTCCTGGATTCCTCCGTGGCTCATTTTTCCCTCTCAGAAGCTGGTTTTGAAAGCGACTTGGGTTTTTAAGAGACGTTTAAACTGCTCCGACAAAATGATGCAGTTTATAAATTTGAATGGGATAATGAGGTCACTGGAGAAAGCCTAGAGAAATGCACTTTTTTTTTAACTTCTGCTTGTTGCTTGTAAGACATATTATTTTCTGCCTGTGTTATATTCCTTAACTGTTGTTCCACATGGTTTGAGCGAGCGTCCATGCTGGTGATCCTGCTGAACTGTGTGACACTGGGCATGTTTCATCCCTGCGAGGACAGCAACTGCGACTCTGAGAGGTGCCGGATCCTGCAGGTAAGAACGTCTTTGGCTTGATTTGTGGCGGATTAAGTGTGTTTTCCTTTTCATATGTTGTTTGTGTGTGTGTGTGTGTGTGTGTGTGTGTGTGCGCGCTCTGTTCACCTGCAGCCCCGCCTCTCCCGGAGAGCAGGGCAGAGGATGGAGAAGCAGTGTGACCATAGATGATTTGGAAAATAAATATATGGCGGCTAATAGCGCCTGGCCGCCACAAATAAATCAGTGTGTGGGGAAACGATTCGTCAACGGATTTCATTTCATTTCATGTCATACGTGCGAGCCACTGAGATCCTTCCAGTGGGATGATCAAGAAGGAGAAAACACAAACGCACGTTAGAGAAAACAACACTCACGCACGTAGATGTGACACGACTAGACAAGGACAACAAATGCAAGAGTAATGGCTGGAAAACAAGCAGATGTTAGTGCAAAGCAAAATCACTGTTTGCATGGCAGACTAGATACAGAGAGCCGGAGCACTGAAACACTGAGATAAATTATATATAAATGAGAGGCGTCTCAGAGAGAGCTACTGAAACAGTATTTCCATAATATCTGGCCTTTGCAGCTCCCTCCATTTGCATTATCTGAGATGGAAAATAAACAACAACATTGTGTGGAGGTGTTTCCATTAATTTATAGACCGCCTTTAACCCAGCAAACACTAATGGAAGAGCGTTGTTGTTGTTCTTGTTGTAAAAATAAAACGGAGGATAAAAAACACATTTGTTTCCTGTGTTTGCCGAGGGAATCGAGCGCAGTGAGACGCAGTAGAACAGATCTGTTCATCTTGTGCAGGGGAAGGATAATGTGTTTGCAAAGTGGTTCCAAATAGATTGAATCAGAACAAAGTCCCTCTTATTTTCTTGTCCACTGACTCGGTGAAATTGAACAGTTTCATTTCCAAAATGAGATAGAGTGGGGTCCACGAGTCTGATGGGACAGTGGTCTCAGACTCTGGGACCCCGCTGTGTCTATCATTTAAAAAGAAAAAAGAGAGAGCGCCACTATTTCCAAATGCTTTCAGATATTAAAGTCAGTTTATTGGGGGAGGCAGTTACTGATCAGACACATTCTTTATTAAACGTTTAGTTTCTCCGAAATGAAAACGTACACACCGCTGCCTTAGAAAGGAAAGGAAAGGAAACTGAGATAAAAGCAAAGGAAAGGAAAGGAAAAGGAGACTAAATGAAAGGCAAACAAAGGTGAAGAGAAGGAAATTGTGGCACAAGAGGAAAGGAAGTATGAGGAAAGGAAAGGAAATGAAATAAGGAAATGCGAGTAATGGAAAGGAGAGAAAAGGAAAGGAGGGAGATGAATGAACAGAAAAGGAGAGAATAGATGAATTTGGAGGCTCAGGAGAAGAATCGAGGTTTTTGAGTCTGCCGTTGCCAGGGCAACCTGCGCCCATCGACTCCCTCCATCTTCTCTGCTCAACAATATGAGATGTGATTTAATTCAGTGGCTCTCCTGTCTGGAGCGCAGATGAATGTAGAGCCTGGAGGTTAAATGCATTCTCATTAATCCCTCTCTTCCCGCATTTCAATCTCCCCGCCGCTCTCCACACCTACAAGTCAAGAGATCGTAAAAGGCGCGTAACCCGCGCAGTGGCGTGCTCATGTCCGTCTTTGATCCGTCTCTCACCGTCTGGAACGTACCATTCACACGCTCTCACTCGCTTTTTCTTTTTCACACTTTTACATTCTCACCACGCCGTTGCCTCAGTCCCTCCTCACGTCTCATCTTTTCCTTCTTTTATTTCGCAGGAGCTTGGTTTGACTTCACGACCTTCTCAAGTGCAACATTTACCTCCATACATGACGGGATTTAGCTGTAGTATAGCTGTCACAGTACTTTGATGTTCCAGTATTTAAAACAAACACCTTGGCTGTTCAGCGTGATGTGATGCTGGTTTCACTTAGTGTTACTAGTTGCATTATACGAACGGTAGATATGAGGGATACAGGTTGTCTCATGTTGTGTGTGTGTATGTGTGTGTGTGTGTGTGCATGAACACTGACGGTGTTTCATCTCAAGATTTTCTTCAAAGTTTCTTCAAGTTTCAAACTTGTGCTCTGTAATCCAGTCCGTTCGTAGCGACTGCCGTTGCTCTCCTCTCTAAAATAAATACTAACTTCCACTAACAACAATCAAATGACAACAACAGCACTTGGCAAACAGCCAATCAAATTGCAGCGGGGCAACAGACAGTCAGGCCCAGCTTTCATTGCCAAAAGCTTCGGGCATGTATATTGTTGTTTCCCCACACTCAGGGCCCTTTATATAAGTTTGAAACTATCCACCAACTGACAGCGGACAGCTTTGGATTTTCAGTGTCATGCATCCGATGATCTTACTCATCTCTGTGTTAGTCAGCACCACTTCAGTTTCTGCTGCCAGCAGGTGGTGCTGTGCCCTATTTGCCCCAAATGATCCGTTGCCTCTACATTGCCCCCTTTTTACGAACAGCGCATCATTTTGCCTGATCACATACATCAATCGCCTCAATAAACATCAGTGAAATAATGTAATCTACAAAATAAATATCCTCAAGAATATAATAAGGATGTAATGTTTAAGACTGAATTAACTGGATTTGACTCCTGATGATGAGCTCCACCTGTGTTTAATTACCCCCCCACCCCCCACCCCTCTTATTAGCATCGTACTTAATTACTAAGGCGATACATTTATATGAGAGTAATAGAATACCTCCTAGTACAACATTAACGCGACTGTGCTCCAGTGTTACACGTGCTCGTGGCTGAGCTCTCAGATCCAGGGTAATGCGTAGCTATCCTAGCGTCCAGGCTAATGAGGAACTCTCTGAACCCTCTCTGATGCAGACCAATGAGCTCTCATCTCCCGACACAGCTAATGGCCACCGCAATGATCACAGGCCAGTGTGTAGCTGATAGAACGATGACACCCCCCCCCCCCGCCCGCTCGGCGTGTCAGTGATGTGGAAAGGTTACCCCGAGGCGTTTTTACAGTTTGTTTTGATGGCATTTGAAAGACATTTTAAACCCACTTGTTTTCAGATTCATCACTGCACGGCTGGATAACATCAGATCTAATCCTTCAACTAATTATGAGAATTTAATTTTGTACGTTTTTCTGACTTTCTTCTTTAAGAGAGTCGGTCTGCCACAAGTCGACTACTAGTCATGTATCTGTACAACGGCTGATTTAAGCCTTTGGAACAAACAACCGATGTTATTTGTCTGATAACACTTATGTCCGGTTTACACACAGACACACACACACACACACACACACACACACACAGAGGCCTGGCATGTGCAGAGAGGGTGAAGAAACATCAGAGCTTGTGTGTGTGTGTGTGTGTGTGTGTGTGTGTGTGTGTGTGTGTGTCATTACGCCGGCTGCCATGAATGGTGGTGATTGAGCTGAAAAGTCTCTCTCTCACAATATTATCTGCCTCCACCTGTGAGGAGTGGATCTCAACTGAATAGCAGATTACAGTTAGCTTGCCCTATTGTCCTCACCACATGAGGCATGCAGCGCCTTCGCCGGCACGTATGGCTGTCTGCCTGGCTGTGTGAGTGCACCTGTGTGTGTGTGTGTGTGTGTGTGTGTGTCCATGTGTTGAAAGCATCTGACCCCTGTGATAATGGCATTCAGACTTGTGACAGGTAAAATTAGCATACATAGTGGCTGAGATTTATTTTCAGGAGAAGGTGTAGGGGAACGTTTTCATTAAATTTTTGCCACCTGTTTTTTAACACATGTATATATTTATGTACGGAAGAAGATTAGGATCACGTGAACTTTTTTATTTTTCTATTTTATTTTATTTTATTTTATTTTTTTTAGAAATCTGACTTTAAAAAAAAGAAGTCAGAATGGCTGTACGTTTATATTGTAGATATATTTTATGGCATAAATGCTGAAGAAAAGCTTTTGGCTCTTGCCGGGTTAACGACGTCTTTACTCAGCCACCAGCAGCACAGACCACCTCTGCCAACTAGTTCACTTGGGGGGGGTGGGGGTGTACTCCCCAACAGTGCTCCTTGAGTGGATGCTTGCTATCATTTGGACTTCGCTGTTGCAATTTTCTGCCTGATTGCTTATTGTTTACCCGCAGCGGTCTGGGCTAGCTGGGAAACACGTGGCGGTATCTAAATCCCGTACAGGAATGTTTCTGATCTGCAGATCTTTGATTGTTCATCGCTTCAACACTTCACGCTCGAGCACCTCACTGCGTCTAATAACTGCTCTGACACTTAAGGATTTGTGAGTGAGCCACAGAGTCGTTAGGGAGTGTCCTAAGTGCACTCAGCGTTAGTGATGGAGTGCACTTACAACATAAAGGCTATGATCAAGAGGTGACGAGAGGGTGTGTGATGTTGGCACGGTGATAACACGCAATACGGCTTGCTGATGTTTGTGTGTGTGTGTGTGTGTGTGTGTATGTGTGCCTGCCTGGTGGACACGTGTGTTTACATTTGTTGGCAGGCCATGTGAGAAGTAACATGGATGTTCACAGACAGGGCTGCTAAGTTGGTGTTTGGTGAGAGAGAGAGAGAGAGAGAGAGAGACAAATGTAATGTATTATAAGCAAATAATATGAAAAACTAGAATAAACATGTTGGATTTTTGACATTAAGATTCATCCACTCATTCATCACTGAGCAACTGAGCAAAGTGTCCACAAATGCTTCATGTTAAGAAAAGAGATCCACATCAAAATCCATACACACAAATGTTACTCACACACACACACACACACACTACTGTGGGAGACATAATCACAGTAATAGGGGAGTGATATGACTTCCAGCAGGAGAGAGAGAGAGACAGAGAGAGAGACAGAGAGAGAGACAGAGAGAGAGAGAGAGACAGAGAGAGACAGAGAGAGAGAGAGAGAGACAGAGAGAGAGAGAGAGACAGAGAGAGAGAGACAGAGAGAGAGAGAGACAGAGAGAGAGAGAGAGAGAGAGAGAGACAGAGAGGGAGAGAGAGGGGGAGGCCGTGGGAGAAAAAGATATGATAAAGATGAGAGCGATAGGAGTCGGCAGGGAATCAGTGGGAATCCCGTCCAGCTGGATGTGAGCAGATAAGAACGCCAGACAGCAACGGACGTGCATTTCCCAAATTTTGGTTGTCATGGTTACAATACAACAATGTGGTTAACGACGAACGGTCATGGATAATAGAAAACAACATACACCAACGTGCAACTTTCAAATAGGAATCGAACTCCGCTCTCCTCTGTCATAATTACTGCGGCCACGAGATGTCACCTAGCAACAACACGTCACTATGGGTCACAATAACCTGCTGCACAAGCGACCTATGGGCTCGTCTTTATTGACTTTACACAAACGTTGCATATCTCAAGTCTAGATCAGTGGTTTCCAACCTCTCCCAGCTCAGCGCCCCCTTCAGAATCTCAAAAACAGAACAATACAGACGCCAGATCACACGTTCTCTCAGGCGACTTTTTATTTTAAGAGTAACAATCGAACGTTCAAGATCGAACTAAGAGCAGGGGAAAGATTTAGGTCACCTGTCGATTCACCATCCGTCTCTCGTCTCTCAAAATTGTTCAGTTTTGCAAACGATAAAGTCGGCCCACTTGCGGCCCGTAGGTTGGGAGCCACTGGTGTAGGGGATTAATGCTGTTAAAGTAAAACAACAAAATGCATAATGTGCTACATCTGCTTCAGATTGAGGGTCCTGGTGTTGTTCGCTCACTGTCACTGTCTCGTCTCACTGGGACACTTGGAGGGAAACAGAGCCATCGTTAATGTTGGTAGTAAAACCTGTGCTTTTCCTAATTGACAATTAAATGTGATTTAAATTAAAAATGTCTGCAGTAAAAAAAAAAAAAAAAAGCCAACAGTCTGCAGCATTTTGATATGTGTAAATTGAGACTTAATAGTTAGTGAATAGTGATTAATCATGCGCCCATGCTATGAGCTTTTTGTAATTGCTCTTATAAACAGTCAGTGTCTGGGAGGTTTTTTCCAGGGTTCGTCTGGTGCACAGGAAGTGAAGGCTTTTCCATTTCTGGCAGCAGCAACAGTGGTGTGTTTGGAATAAATATAGAAGGATGAGCTGTGTTACCTGCCACCTACACAATATCAAAAGACAAAGTCTTTACTGTACTGCCAACGCTGTTTCATTGACAAACGATCAGTGGATCACAAAACCTCCCACAATACGCACAATATAAAGCACAGCAACACATGCAAAACCTGAATGAGAAGTTGGTCCCTCTAAACTGTTTTTGGGTTTTTGATTTACCCATTAAATGGTTTCAGTTTGCCAAAGAATATTTTCAATTATTCATTTCATTATCTGATTCCCCACTTGATTTTGCTGCAACAGTATTTTCCCGTCCCTCACTGTTTCAAAGAGTTTTTCAGATTGGACTGACTCATCACAAGTTCTCCGCCGTCGTTCGTCGGGCCTATTTCACACTTTTGCGACTGTCACGCCGAATGAAAGCCAATTTCACGAGGCTTTTCTGAACTGGGATTAAACCGCGCGATTTAACGTAATGAACGTTTTAGTTTTGTTTTTCCACATAATGTAAAAGTCTCAGTATATTTTTGGAGACATTCCAGTTACACACACACACACACACACACACACACACACACACAAAAATCCACTGGAGGTAAAATATTCTGTGTCTGTGTGAGTCTCTTCACGTCTCTTCATGGGGGGAGAGACTGCAGAGGAGGGTTAGAAAATTAAAGGGTGTGTGAGCAGTGAGCCATTCAGCACAGGTCACTGGTGTATATTCCCTCGGAGGCAGGCGTGTGTGTATGTGTGTGTGTGTGTGTGTGTGTGTGTGTGTGTGTGTGTGTGTGTGTGTGTGTGTGTGTGTGTGTGTGTGTGTGTGTGTGTGTGTTTGGTTTCCCTGCTCTCCACATGGACACACAGCCAGTGAGCCATGGTGACAATATACACACACAGACACACACACATTCACATTTCAATTTTGGTAAATACTCAGCTTGGTATTATGAGTGTCACTGAATCTTTTCCTGTGTGTTTGGATTTCACATGTCATCTATGTGTATCAGGATCATGTGACACGTCTCACCCTCACATTGATGTGTGATTCGCGTTTTGGGGGGGGATCAATGTCCAATGACTCCAGAGCCGTTATTACCATGTGCCGCTGTGAGAGCGCCTCAGGCCGGCCTGTCCTGTTGACTTTGATGAATTGGAAGTCCCAGCTGTGCGTAGAGTGTGTGTGTGTGTGTGTGTGTGTGTGCATGTTTGGAGCAAGAGAAGGTTGAGCTAGTTGACATTAGCTCATTGTCAATTTATCAAAAGTCCCTGAAGACGTGTCGACAGAAGAGGATTAGAGCCACGTGGAATTTTTATTTTATTTCACTTGTGGCTCTAATCCTCTTCCGTACATGCTGTATGTGTTACAGTACGCATGTGTGTTTACATGTATGTGTTGACACGTGTGTGTTGTGAGGATGTACAGTGCATGTGTGTGCGTGAGAGACAGTAAAGATATTGTCCCCAGCACCCTGAGTCATAAGGGGGTTTTCTAATGTTATCGGCTCTGTGGGAACGCAGGCTCCAGCTAATGCAAAATAGATGAGTAATTACTCCTGAGCAGAGGAGGGGAGAGAAATGCCACCTTCATGAAACAAAAGAAAGCGCAGATACAAGGATGGAATATTAGAGGAGAAAGCAACGCCGTCGTCAGCGTGTGCTCTGGCGGCAGTAAACATCTCTGCTCGGGCTCTTTCGTGCATCAAGGCGTGTAACTTCAACAGTGTCCATATTTTCACTTTGTTGTTATTTTTTGCAGTAGACGGTTGATGTGCCGTGTCTCTGTCATTCATGGTCGGAGCATCTTCTGAACAGACGATTAGCAAACAACAGCCCGGGCGCGTTCCCCATTTGTCCGCTCAGGGTTTTATATCAAATTCCTCTGATGGGAATACAGAAACCATCGATTGATCTGAACAATCTCCTCCGCTGTGTCTCTTGGAGGAATTGAGTTGTGCGTAAAACATCTTGAGTGATGCGTGAGCGACATTAGGGGAGTTAACCAGCGGCAGCAGTTTGCTAAAGGGAACCTACTGCCAGGTGGTACGTCCTGGAAACAGCAGCGAAGTCCTGAATGAAATCTACACAAACACTCTCCGAAGATACACACACACACACACACACACACACACACACACACACACATTCCTGTGTGAACGTCTACATTTCACTGACGGTGAACTCTCAGAGCAGTGAGAGGCTAGCTTCTGCCTAAGCTAACAGGATTTGATATATTTATACATTTCTGTGTTCTTGTTTGGATGACTCATCTATCAGTGGGTGTCTTGTGCCTTGATCTCCTTCCAGAATTTTTCTTTCATTTTTTTTTTGGACTTTTTTCATCCTCATCTCCAATTCCTTCTCCTCTGCCTTTTGAAATTTATTTATTGATTTTCATATTTCAAGAGCTGTAAGGTTAGGTTCTGTTTAATTCCCATCCAACTCCCATCCTCATCCTTGCCCCTTATTTTTCTTCTTCAGTCCTGTCTGATAATGATTTAATTAATCAAACCGCCAGGCAGATATAATGAGGGCAGGAGCGCTGATTAGTGCAATGAGGGGCTTGTTCCAGATTATTACATTATATACTCTGGATATGAAGCGATTTGTCGCTGGAGTCTCTGTTAGGGCAGCAAGGTGGCAAAAGCATCATTAGACCTGTGGACCTTGCCTTCAGCAAGCGTCCGGTTTGCTCTAGTGTCCTTGAGCAACACACTAAAGCTTTTGCAGCAGCAAGAAGACAGAGAAAAGGGGGATTCTAACTCCAGACTATATGCAGTTAGAAATTAAAGTGTCACACTAACGGCAGACATTCTCAATAGGCAATATACTGCTGATGTGAGAGCCCGCTGATCATTATGCTGCTCTGTATCTCCCAGGACAACAAAATATACTGAAGACACTGCAGATGAGAAATGCAAAGAATTGTTTGAAGTCGAGCTCGAAGGTTCGTTCTTGACTTTAAAAATGGTGGTTTGACAGAAAATGTTATTATCATGTAGCCAAAGTGTAGAAATACGGTCACGTGATAACAGGTTGCGGTGGTCACTTCGCTTCCCTGTGCTGAACGACCACCTGCGATCAGACTGTAGCCGCGCTGTCTGCTTTGGTTCAGACCAAAATATCTCAACAACTACAGGATGTGTTGCCATGAAGTTTGGTACAGACACTCATTGTTCCCGGAGGATGTATCTAACGTTTTTTGAGATCCCCTCACTTTCTTTCTAGCGCCACCATGAGGTTGACATTTGTGGTTTTCGGTGAAATTTCTCAATAACAATCGATTGGTGCCCCAGAGGAAGAGCTGTAATAACGTCTGAGTGCTGAATGCAGTGAGGTCAAAAAGTCTGAGACGTGGGATCCCACTGCAAAAATGCAGCCATTTATTATCAGCTGGTTCAAATTTAAATTCTTTTCAAATAGCAAATGCAACTTTTGATCCTGTTAAACTTTACAGATTGTATCTTTGTCCTTTTTTGGGGGGAATGATTTAAGTCCTAATGAAAATGTCTGTTTCTTTTCGCAGGATTTTGACGACTTCATCTTCGCGTTCTTTGCCATTGAGATGGTGATCAAGATGGTGGCTCTGGGGATTTTTGGCAAGAAGTGTTACCTCGGAGACACATGGAACCGCTTGGACTTCTTCATAGTATTGGCCGGGTGAGTTATGCAATTACACACACGAATAACCCACACGCAAACACACAGGCAAGTGCCAAGTATTATATACAGTGGAGGCACACGCACAAACGCAACAAAATCCAGCAATGGTCAGTCGTGGAAATCAGACTTTGGGAACGCAGGAACGAGAATGTAATCGATATTTCGGGCTGTAAATGTAATTGTGTCACACCCCAGAGCAGAGACACTGGCAGTAACATCAGGCAACTTCATTGAACCCTCCACTGGGTTTGTCATTAAATGGATTTACCCTAAATGTCCAGTAAAATCCTTTTAACTTGAAATTGGTAGCAAGTACCCTCTTAAATTCCTAATTGCTTCGAATCTGTTAAAACAGCTGGAGAGAGAGAGAGAGAGAGAGAGGGAGAGAGAGAGAGAGAGGGATCAGATATTAAGAAGTTGTTCTGCACCTTTTAAATCTGTCCCTGTACACGTACGTAGAATACACACATGCACACACAGTGATTTGATTAAACATGTTACAGAACACGGCCTGCTGGTTTTGGTCTGACATTTTCATCACACTACATCTCCTGCTGGTTTTTAATGCCATCCTTCTGCCACAGCTTCTGTTGTCCATCAGTGGGAACAGGGCACATTTCCTTCTGTGCGTGTCTGTGACTATATGTGAGTGTGTGAGTGTGTGTGTGCGTGTGCGTGCGTGTGTGTGTGTGTGTCAGTCTAAGTGTGCAGTGTCCTCCATCAGCAGAGATGAGATACATTGCATCCACTTCTTTATGCAGTAACACACCTGTAAAACACACTATAGTCTTTCTATAGTCTGTAATGACAACTCTGAGCTTCCTCCTCTGTCCCCATTTGTTTATTTCCTTTGCTCCCCTTCTGTTCTTTTCCTCTCTACCTGCACCCACACATCTGCATGGAAATGTATAGCTGCTTCCCTATTGGTCGCTACGATTCAGCAACTGAACTGAGCGCCAGAAGGAATTAGATGGGAAATACCTTAATGTCTGGTGTTCAGCCACTAATCCGCTGAATTATTAGAAGACCAATTAAAGGATCTTAAAATGTAAACTACAGCAACAGGCAACGGTATAGCTCTGATGAATAGAGATGCATACAGATGAAACTATTATGCATCTGTTGGGGAAACTGGGTCATTGCAGCAGCGCAGGATAGGATATACTGTGCATGAGGAGCAGGCTGAGATGGAGTATTTGCTGTATCGAGTTTCATAATGCAAACTGTTATGTATTGTAATGGTAACTTAGAATATTATAATAAACTTATTACATCAGTTTCTTTAAGTTCACTTGACCTTTATTCCTCATCAAATAAGCACAATCTATGATGTCATAAAAATTTTTAGTTTTGTTTTATATTTTAATACATTGATTTGATATTCCAGAAATTAGTTCAAATGCTGCCTGTAGACGTAAATGCAAGAAGACACGAGCGGGAAACCGTGCAAAAGAATACACGACAACTTTCAAGTTGCGCATAAATGAGGGCGTGTCGCTTTGAGTGACAGGCGGGTGGGGCACCGAGGTCTCGGCTGCACACATGCCCCCACCTCTTTGCCCGTTTTTTTTTTTTTTGCATCAGCCGGGAGTTGGGGCGGAGTCGTGCGCTGCCAAGATGGCGACGGCGGAGCAGCTCACTCTGAGCTTGCAAAAACTGCTCCTCAGACACCCGTGGGTGACGTCACGGAGGCCAGATACATGTGTGTCTGGATGCTGGCTTCCATCTGAGTGTGCGGGTGGTGGTGTGAGCACGCATGTTGTCGTGTCGGCTCTGTTGATGTGATTCATGGGTTACACTATGTCGCCATTTCTGAAAAAACAAAAAAAATCTCATATGTATGGACAGCCCCAGCCACACGGAGACAATGGTAACCTAGGTAACGGCTGGTTGTCGAGCATTTGATATATCCTGGCAACAGTTGTTAGGTCTGTGGAGGAAGGCTCTGATGAACTGTTTGTTTCTCTCCGAGATGATAATTACAGCTAAGCTGCTTTTTCAGCAGGTCTGCGCTCTCCCCTCCTAATCACCCCTGTCGACAGGAGGGAGCGACGGAGGCGTGGTTGTGCGAAGCAGGTGGAGTGTGGAGAAGGAGAGAGACGTGAAAAATGTGCAGGGAGAGAGTTTTTGGCAAGTGAAGTGATAGAAGGAGTGCAGGAGAGATGTTGTGCTGTGTTGATAAAGAGAAAATCAGCAGATAGGAGTTTCCTACCTACCGCCTCGCGGTTGTCTGCCTCCTCCACTCAGACTCGTTTCACATCCCTGTTTATCCAGAATCATATAAAATCTTGAGTAAGTCTTGAGTAACGGGTAAAAAGTGTTTTCTGAGGTCACCGTGACCTTAACTTTTGACCTTTGACCCCCAAAATCTTATCAGTTCATCCTTGACTCCAAGGGAACATTTGTGCCAAATGTGAGTTCTGGAGATATTTTGTTCACAAGGCCAAAATCATGTTTGGTGAGGTCACTGCGCCCTTAATCTTTGACCTCTGACCCCCAAAATCTAATCAGTTCATCCTTGACTCCAAGTGGACATTTGTGCCAAATTTAAAGAAGTTCCTTCAAGGCGTTACTGAGATATCCTGTCCACGAGAATGGGACACACGTACGTACGCGTGGACAGACAGACGGATGGACGGAGAACCAGAAGTCACTTTCTCTCGGCTCTGACCGTCGCCGCCACGGAGGCAGAACAAGAACTGATTGAACCCAAGTTTAAGTAAACCGAGTCAGGCTACACTTAAGGACTCAGCTCTGGATAGAATGACTTGTTAAGTGAGTGTTTTCATTATTTATGGTTTTATTGAAGGATCAGTGCAGCGGAGCCCCAGTCAATAGTCCAAACCGCAGACTGTACCAGCACTTACTGTCGCAGACTGGGGGATCCTATCCTTCGTACATCGATCTGGCTCTGCGCTCTCTCTGTGGCTGGATTCCTCCTGAAGAGACACAGAAAGGAAAACTGAGGAGGAGGAGGAGGAGGGAGGAGGTTAACAGATCGACTAAGAAAGGCAAACAGAGAGAGGAGGAGAGGCCGAGGCAGTCGGGTCGATCGCTTCATTGGACGCCCTCAGTACTAAATCTGGTCTGATGTTTGAGGACAGACACCGTGGGAATACTCATTTTGATTGTGTTTGGTCAGTTTCGATAACTGACATTTAAAAAGAAAAGAAAAAACAGTGAGTATCTATAACTGACATATAATGTGTGAAATAAAAAACCTTTCATCATCCCATGCTGCTATAACTGCTGCCATTATACATGTTCTCCATACAAAGATGAGGAAATCACTATGCACTCAATACCTCTCTCTCTCCCTCTCTCTCTCTCTCCCTCTCTCTCTCTCCCTCTCTCTCTCTCTCCCCCTCCCTCTCTCTCTCTCTCTCTCTCTTTTTCTCTCTCTCTCTCTCTGTGAGCCACTATATTTTCTTGTTCTGGCTGTCACCTGGCTTCTTCCTCACTACATTATGGCCCCACTACAAGTGGGTCAGCAGATTGGCTGCGGATTATCAGTGGCGGGGGGGGGCATGGTCGAGGGGGGAGTGTGTGCAGAATGTTTGCAACTGGCCGAGGTAAATTTTGGTGTAAAACTGTGTCTGTATTATCAACTGAAATCACAGTGCAGTAATAGGGAAGCGCAACCTGCAGCCTCTGTTGATTTACCACCTGTTCCCAAAGTAATTCAGGCTTTTGGTGAGAAAGCCCCAGTGTGCACAGAGAGCAAACACTCCCAGGGAGAAAAAGAGCTGCGATTTTTATTTTTTTTGATGCTTTTGTCTGTTTTATTACCAAGAATGTAGGTTATAAAAAAAACAAAAAAAACCAAATCATTATTTTCTGTTTTGTGTTGCAAAAATGACGTATATCAAGAGTGGACCTGCATGCACCTGGTGACGTGGGTTTGAACGTCCAGCCAGTCAACCTCCAACCAACCAATAGGAGCGTCTCCTGAAACAGCACATGCAAACAGACTTTGATGTTGGCTTCCCCCCTTTAAAGCTCATTTTGCCCCGAGATATGAATAAATAATAATAAAATGCTTTATATGTAAAAAGCAACAAGATGCAACAGAAAAATAAAAAATAGAAATCACACAAGTCGTCATAAAAATACAAAAACATGTTGATTGATCGCAGGCGGCAGCAGCAGGACACGCAGCTCTGCAGTTATCTAGAAGGTTTTTTTTAGCAAATTCACAAGAAAATTGTCTCGCTGAGTTTGATTTTGTTGTTTGCGTTTGAAGTCGACTATTTCACACGCAGGAAAGACATTTCGCAAGCACTTTTTGTGAACATAGTTTACTACAGTTACAAAATAATGAGCTCCTGGAGGGGATGATAGCGAGCACATCATTTCATTACTGTTATTGAGTTATTAAATATCAGCCGTTTGTATTGGTGTGTTTTGTTTTTCGTTTGTTTTAAGGAAACTACAGTTTTGCTTCATTGCACATCGGTGCAGCAGCCGGCTGTTAGATTTCTCATTTGGTCATGGGAACTCTGAAGTGTTAAAGCTTTACGTAGGAGCACAGTTTCATAGATAAAGACCTCTGACATTTTTCTGCTTTTTTTTCGGGGCACGGAAATGGAGAGTTCCCTCATACTGTCTGATTTTTGCAAGTAGAAGGAGAGATATTCAATAATCGACCGTGGCTGTGAAAAATAAGTTGGTTAACATTTGGGTTAGATAAGCAGCAGAGTGGGTTGATGACAGAAAGTGTTGCTGATGTAAGGGTTTCATTCCAATTCAGCATGAAAACACTCCATCTGTCTGTTCTCTGAGTTTCCCCTCTCTCCACGTCTCCCTGATGCTACATGCGCTTCATTTGATACGATCAGATTCTCATTATTAGCCGTTGCCTAAACAGCAAGTAAACTCATAAAGTGGGTTGTCACGTAATGGTTGGTAAGAGTCGGCGCACGTCGCGTTTCATTCTGTATGTAGAGGCGCGAGTATCCACAGTGATGATGATAATAATTCATTTTCTGAGGAACATCGGGTGTGACGGCTCGGCTCTCACTGATGTGGAGGCAAACAGGAAGTAAACAATACGTGACCAAAGGAATGTCAGGAGAGAGGAAACACGGCTGGTTATTTCATAATAAGGGAGGAGTGACAGGACAGACTGTGATGGAGCGACGTGCTGCTGCAGTGGAGAGGTGGTGTAATCCAGTCATCGAATGATAAAGTCATTATTAATGGGAGCAGAGACAGTGGGGTTGAGCAGCATGTTGACTGGATAAAAGCACTAGCTGAATGCATTACTTATCGGTATTTAAGCATATCACTCATTATTTCATGGATGTGGAAACTCTTTTCACGGTGTCATCACATTTTGAAATGAAGTGTGAGGAGAAGAGAAGGGAGCATTTGTGAAAAATAAAAAAACAAACAACAACAAGACAAATTTAAGTAGCTTAGCGTAGTTTATTTTAAAGAACAAGTTTTTGGAAGATGCTCTGGTTCAGTTGATAGTGTGTTAGCAGGCAGCGGACAAAGAGCAAAATTATGAACAAAGCCAATTCCAGTAGCAACACAAAAGTTCAGTGAGCACTAAAGAGATGCTACAATTTACAGATGTTCCCTGAACTCCTCATATGCAGACTGTATGGTGTCTTTATCGGAGGTTTAAGGGCTTTTACAGTTATCATGGGCAAGATGTGCCAGTATGAGGGGCCATCAAGGGGGGGGGCCCTCTATCCCAGCTTCAAATCCAGCATGAAACCTGGAGGCCCCCCATCAAGATTTGACCAATGCCATTCAGCCTTTCTCGGTATATCCGTCATGATTTGCATAAAAATTGTCAAATGGAAACGCAGGCAGGGACATGATGAATATACACCGCTCAGGTTCTGTCTCACCATTGATTTTCTACCAGGATTTATCACTCATCCATCCCTTCCTATCCATCTGTCAGCTGTGGGAGTGGGAGCTACTTTCCAACAGTGCAATAGCTCTCAGGAAGACTGATGGGTGGAGTGACTAAGACGGACAGAAGATGGACACACAAATATCGAGGAGCAGAAGGGCAGATAGATTAGGTTAGATGAAGACAGGACGGGGTTAAGCAGTGGAAACTGTCCTACATTCCCGAGCTGTCTTGAGTAGTTTTCCTATTATAGGTCTTTCTGGGTGGCATTACGTCTGGTGTGTGTGTGTGTGTGTGTGTGTGTGCAAGATGCTCCAAGCTACTGTTGCCTTTGTCTCGGAGGCGGTGTAGCTGGAAAGCTGTATGTGTACCATCCTTCATGTGCCCGGCAGCTCTGGCACAAACACACACGCTCACCCTCTGCGACAACAGGAGGACGAGCTAAGAGGCGAAGCGTCTACACGCGACTCCGGCCCTGCGTGTTGATTGGCTCTGTGTGCTAAAGTTTGGGAATTCTCCTCACGCAAACTCCCCCGAAGGCTGGGCCTCCCTCATCCTCTCTCCTGCTTCTCATTTCTCTGTCCTCCTCCCGCCCCCCCCCTCTCCTCGTATCAGCAACATCAACACTGGCACGGACTCTGACGAAATCAGCGCACGACTTCCTGTCGTTTTCCATCGTTTGTTTGATACACTCCATTTCTCCTCGGCCTG